AGTCGGTGTCGTTAATGGACTCAATATTTGTGGTCTGACGGTATCTTCGAAGTCGGGTTTCATTACAATCCATGCTCCGTCTATTTCGTATCCTACTGCCAACAGTTGATTGCAATCCACCGTTGTTCCTCCTTTGATCAGCATCCTAGACTTCGGAGTTAGAAACCAGCTCTCGTTTCTATATTTTACCGGTAGTTCTTGATAGCAATCCTGTGTCTTTCTTAATGTCACTTCCACAGCTACACATTTTATTAAATATATTATTTCTCCGGCGAGACTAGCGTAATATCCTGGGCCCTTCATTATAGCGTAAGCGAATTCTTCTGGCTTAAGTCCTGAAAACATGAGTGCATTGGAAATTACTTGCCTTTCCACTTCACATTTGTGTAGAAATATATCTCTGTACAGAGCTTTCATTTGGCGTTTGATGAGTTTTTCTACATATATAAATTTTGAATTTATGTATGTGAAAATATCCAAATCCTGCGTCGCGATTGGTCGTGTTTTCGTTCCCCGTTCTCCTGGTTTAATTATTCTGATTAGTAATTTCGGGTGCTCTGTTTGTATTAATTTGTAGCCGCAAACTTCTTTTTCCATTTTCTTTGATAACGCAAAGGTGGTCTCCTCTGTGTTTAACGTATAAATTTCGGGTTCTCCTGGTTCACCCGATAGAATTAGTCCTGGACCCTCGTATAGTGTGAGATGATTTGCCGTACAGGAATCATCTCTAATAACTTCCCAAAATACGTAATTCCCTGATTGGTCGATGCACTCTGCTTCCGCCCAGTCGCATCTTGATCCGTTTCCTCAAATTATCCTGTTGCTGGCTCGTTCGATGGTCGCAAAATAATTCTTGATTGTGATTTTTACAGTCGCCTCTACGATAACTCCATCCCAGGTGCCAAATGGATCGCTGTATGAAACTCCTGTGCATTTTCCATCCACTGTTGTTTTTCCTGCTAACATTATTGTCCGAAAATCTGTACTATTTCTTTTTACTCCTTCTATAAAACCTGAATCACCCATTCTTAAACTCCCGTCTTCTTGTAACTTTTTGCACTGTCTGTAATCAAGTTCATAAATGTACTCCTGTCTTCCATTTGTTACCGCGAAAGTATGATACCAATATCCGCAATACGTTATCACTCGATTTACTTCTACTCTACACTCCCGCACCTCAGTATTTCCGAATTCCGCTAGCTGCAGCAATTGTAGAGTTACAGCTTCTTCTCTCGGGTTCTTGAGGGGAATGTTGCACTCTCCTACTGTAACTGCTGACATCGTTGTCACGTTCATTGAAATTCCTCCGCAATCATATCCTATCAATGCCTGTGTTGTTTGGACGATCAGTAACATCACTGGTAACAAATTTTTTATTGTCTTACTCATTCTGCAAAATTTTTATATGGCATTAATTTACAAAAAATTTGTATATTTTCTCTGGATCGACAGGATTTCCTCTACTTTTCTTTGATGAATGATACCATTAGGCATGAAACGACAATTTTCGAATTACTTATCTAATTATTCTTAAAATTTTTATACATATAAAAAAAAATTCCCCCCTTTTTTTTTTTTTTTTTGAATCTACCAACTATTGTTATTAATTTATATAAACATATTATGATTAAATATTACTCTCAAATCCTAATCATTTTTCCAACGACTGAGTACATATCCTACCGTAATTTATTTCTCCTGAAATATGATAATACAAAGAGAGAATTATTTCTTTGCATCTTCTCCAGACTGCTGACAATGTCTTTTGAGTACTTTATCTATGCTGGACCCCGTGGTCTTACTTATGTTTACTTAATTAGAATACTTATCCCGCTCCGAGTGATCACATCTTTACTTGTGACGATTTAATAAGTGAATAGGAAAAGAAATTCTAAAGAATTTTCCAAAAAAAAAATTATACAGCGTGTCGATTTATTTTTCAACTCCCCATTTCCTTCGCTGTTTGCGTGAATCTCAGGTGACTAACGGGGTAAGTTATTATAAAAATAATATCTTCTTAATTTAAAATTTATCATTATAGGCTAATTTAGAGTTTTTATTTTCCAGAAAATTTCAAGAATGTGTAACATCTTAAAACCCTTGGTTGCTGATGATCCAAACCCTGAGAAGGGGGTTTCTCTCCTGGTAGAGTTCCATCACATTTCGGGGCTTCCCATGCCCGTCGTCCTCAGGGGGATGATTCACGAATATAATACTGCTCGTTTCCGAAGGGTCCGTCGGTACCTTTCCCTAGGAGAGTCTTCGAGCTGCATTAACGCACCTTATCGCTACCCTCACGACGCTTCCTTAATCGTCGCGTTGGGCTATAGTCTTTTAGACATGGTGAAACCTAGTGCAGAATGACTCCAATAAGTAGATTGTGAATCTTTTCGTGTATGTGTATATGTATATATAAGAAAAATATTGTTTTCTCTCTTTTTTTTTTGATTGTGCAAAATATATACATACATATGTGTTATCCAATGAGTTTGTGTCTAACTAATTGTTTGTCCATAAAGGTTGTTCCTCCCGCAATTCTCAATTGACTTTAATTTTCCACAAAAAAAATTTTAGATATCAGAGAGAATAAAAAATTTTACGTTTCGATTGAGGAAAATAAGTAAAAATTTTTTATAAAAAGCATAAAGGTTTAGGATCACTCCTAAAATTATTCTTTGAATTCTGGAATAATTTTCATAAATGTTATCTAGCTGAATTATGAATTAAGTGTGTAATATGAGGTAGGTGTATGTAGGTGACTATCTTATGTACGTTTCCGTATGGTGTGTTAATAATACGTTTAACATGCGCGATCTATATCTATATACGTTTCTCCTGACCGAGCGCGCAGACAGCATCGCACATTTCTTTTGAATTTTTAGTCTATGCTTTGTCAAGTGGCTAATGCGCATGCTCCGTTTATTCAAATAAATTTCCTACAACTTAAAGTCTTTTTTTTTGTATCTATTTCCTTTCCTATGCTTAATTAATTTATTGTTATAATTAAAATCACTGGAAATATCTTTTGTCTTTTTATAATTTTACTTGTTTAATTGTATCTCTGAGAAGAAGATTCTTGGCTTAATTGATTATTAATTAAAATCTACTTACTGTGTCTGCATATCGTTTAATTTCCGAGATTTATCATTTATCACCCGTCTACCGTCGTAAACGTATACTTATTTTAATATCTTTTATTTTGTTTGAATTTTCCTTTGAAAGAAAAATTCTTATACGTTTCTATTTTTCTTTATATTATTATAGTATGACACCTTATTGCTACTACTTATTATATTACTCCCCTCCCCTTTTGTTCATATATTATTAATATTGATTTATATATATATATACAAGCCAACGCACATTTTCTTTGCATTGAAACGGCGCTCTGCTTGTGTGTCCCAATAATCTATTCTCTTCTTCGCTGTTACAAACGGTAACGGCCCTCCTTTCCAAAAAATTGGCGCGCATTTGCTTTGCATTGAAACAGCGTTCTACTTTTGTTCTTTCACTTTCTTTTATTATTTTGTTTTACATGTACGGGCTCCCGCATGCCCGGTAGAAGCAAACGAGGGGGCAACGGGCTCCGTTTTTGGAAGAAAAAGTTCGAATTAAAGTCAAAATTAAATAACATTTCAGAAGAATTAAAAGAGGAAGAAAGAAAAGTCAAAAATAAAATCTCACAATTAAATAAAGAAATAAAAGAACTTAAGAGTAGAAAACCGCGAATAATTAGAATTCAAGAGTTAAAGAAAAGAATTCATCTAGTTCATTTATACACTAATAAGGAAAAGTTAAAAAAAAGTTTTTGCGTGCCACGTGTTTACTTTCCGCAATCTGACCCACTGGGTTTTTACGTACCCTGTGGTGCGAACCAATAAAACACTTTGAGAATTTGTTATATAATTTTTTTTTTTATTATTATAAAATATTGGATCACATATAAAATTATATATTTATATTCGTCAATATTATTACTAATACATAAACAAGACCAGATTGAACTAGTATGAATTGTTTTGGGTTTGAAGACTTGGGATGTCAAGATATCAATTGATATAAATTTTTGTACACTGTTAAAATGTCAAACCATTTTATAATGTATTGATATGTCGAATTTTCAATTGATCTCGCTTACCCCTTTCGTCACACCGTACCATTTTAAATCTTATTAAACACACTATATATTTGGTGGTTTGGTCTCACGAAAGCTCTAGACTGACCGTGAATAATCTCCCCGCGTTTTGCCCATGAACGTTCGAAATTAAAAAGGTTTAGTCTCTATGACTGATGACAAGCTCCAGAAACCGTATCATCTGAGAGGTCAAGGACCTCCACCTTACTCTGAAGGGTTACCGGCACCAACCAAACCTCGGAAATTTAAGTTTACTGAGCCTACTGGTGATTCTGGCTTGGGTGACACCCTTGCTCTACCTGAGATATCGGACGACGGGGTCGATTTTTTAGTTCCAGAAAGTCCAACCAGTGGTTCTAGGGAAGCAACTTCAGCGCTGCAACCTTCTACGTCCGTTTTGCCAAAGATTCTTCTCGATCTCCCTCCAGACGCTCAAAATCCGCAAAACGCCCCTGAAGTTTAACCAGAGGCCCCGATCATCCAAAACCCCCAAAACGCCCCTGAAGTTCAACCAGAGGCTCCAATAATCCAAAATCTTCAAAACGTTCCTGAAGTTCAACCAGAGGCCCCAATCATCCAAAATCTTCAAAACGTCCCTGAAGTTCAACCAGAGGCCCCAATCATCCAAAATCTTCAAAACGCCCCTGTTCAACCAGAGGCCCCAATAGTCCAAATTCCTCAGGACGCCCTCGAAATACAAACAAGAGCCGCAAGTCTTCAGCAGCCTCGACAAAACGCCGTAGATCAAATCATAAACCAACCAGTCGAACCGGTCGATCCTCTGTTTGCCACTCAACGATTAATCGATCAAATTTTGGATTTAGAGCCGATAGCTCGCCCGTTTATTAATCCCAGACCTAACAATATGTCTTTAACCCCAAATCAGAATATCTCACTGACGGACGCACTGTCCTTTTTTCCCAAGTTTGAAGGGAACCCTAGCGAGCTCATCGACTTCCTGAATTGTTGTAAGGAAGCTAAATCTGTCCTGCCAGAGGCAGCTGAGGGAAACCTCACGAAGCTCATATACGGGTCGAAACTTGGAGCCAAGGTTAAAACTTCTTTAAACATTGCTGTCCCAGTGACGATTGCAGGTTTAACGTCGGAGCTGAAGAAGATCTACGTTCCAAACAAAACGCTTTTCCAACTCCAGGGTGAACTGGGACGAATGTATCAAAAGGACACCGAATCCGTAGTGGAATTTGTAAACAGACTACGGAAGAAGGGACGCGAGATCGTCGAGTGTTTCAAAGCCGAGAACCCCGATGCGACACCACAGGCAACCACCGACTTCGAAAACAAGGTTGAAACCACCATTGCGGACTGCTTCACCCAAAATTTAATAAATGAAATCGATCAGCGTATGACGCCAAGTGTAACGGTAACGGAAGCGCTCTCCAAGGCGATCACGATTGAGAAAAAGTTAAACGCACGCAAGGAGATACGCCGTGACCCCAATAAGGGAAGCCAGAAGAAAGAAGAGGGGGAGAAGAGCGATGCCCAACCTGTGAACCACGCGGTACCATCTTCAACTGAGTCTCCCACTTCTACACCGGATACAAAGAAGAACAAAAAAAAGAAGAACCAAAACAACAAACAAACCCAGGATCAAAACTTGGAACAAAACTTCAGCAACTTAAATGTAGCGGTCTACCCAGAACGGTGCCGTAATTGTAAACAACCGGGGCACTATGCAAAAAATTGCCCGGTATTAACCTGTCAACTTTGTTTTGAGAAGGGACACTCAGCCAAAGAATGTCCTCAGTTGAATACAACTAATCCAACTAATGCGTACGCACAGTGTAAATGTCAATTGTGCGAAAACTTTGGGCATACCGCCAGGTACTGTCCCACCAATCCTAATAAAAGAACAATTCCGATTCAAGTCCAACAAAATCGGAATCAAAATTTTCCGCAGCAAATTCCAAGTCAGTCGTTCGGCCAAAATCCAGACCAAATACGCAAGTATTGCGAATATCATCATTCAATTTCTCACAATACTAACGAATGTCGCACGGCTCAACGTGCTGCATCAAACGCACAGACCCAAAACGCGGCGTATTCTAACAACCAAATTCCTTTTTTCAACAATAATGCCACTAGTTCTGGTAATTATTCTTATAATCCTAACCGCCCTCTGGGACCCACTCAAAACAATGCTTCTTTTCCTCTGGATGCAGGGAAGAACAACCGACCCCAACATTCGGTACACCTCTCGGTCGAACCAGTCCCCGAAGAGGACTCAGAGTAAGTCGGGTCGATGTGAAATTAGACACTGACAACCTGCCCTATGCAGTAGCGGGTAAAACAGCCAACGGAGATGACATCGTTATGATGCTTGACTCCGGGGCATCCCCTAATTTAATTAAGGCTAGATTTGTTAAGAATAGTAGTAGAATAGTAGTAGTAAGAACTACACGGGATAGCTAATGTCCCGATTAGTACTCTAGGAAGTGTTATGTTAAGATTATTTGATAAAGCGACTTTATGTCATGTAGTCCCGGACGACATGGTAATACCCCATGCCGGCCTAGTTGGATCGCAGTTCTTCGCGACCCGTGGGGCAAAAATTGACTACAAAAATAAACTTTTGAAGATGGATGGTGAAAAATTCCCTTTTCGCCAAGCCAATCGGGTAGAGAATGGGGTGATGTATATTCCACCCCGAAGCGAGTCCACCTTTTTCATAGAGGTTCAGAATCCAGAGGTTCGGGAAGGGTTCATCCCTAAATTACGAATTTGTAAGGGTGTATTTGCCGGTAATTGTTTAGTGAGAATAAACAACATGAACCGCGCATACCTGCAAATTTATAACACAACTGAAGAGGAGGTAGCTGTAAAAATCCCGAACCTAGCGGTTCGCGAAATCGAACAAGTAATGACGCTGGATTTGTCTTCAAAGAATCCCTACAATCGGTTAAGCATTACCAAACCCATCTTCAATAATAATCAAAATATTCCCGATTTTGACAGATTCGAAAGAGTCAAACTTCTACTGCGCCTAGATTACCTGGGTGAGGAGGAAATCACCCACGTTGAGGATCTTGTAAAAAAATATGCTGATAGGTTTTACATACCCGGGGAACCTCTAAGTTCCTCCAGCAAATATCAACACCGGATACCTACCACTAGTGATCACCCTATCACGGTCAAACAATATCGAATTCCTCAAGCATTGAAGGAGGAATTGGATAGACAGGTGAAAGAGGGTTTGAGCACGGGAATTTTGACACCTTCGGAATCTCCATACAATAGTCCTGTATGGATAGTCCCGAAGAAAGCCGACTCTCAAGGCAATAAACGCTGGCGTGTAGTGATAGATTTTAGACTTTTGAACGATGAAACTATCACTGACACGTACCCACTACCAAATATTACTGATATTTTGGACCAACTGGGAGAGTCAAGGTATTTTTCGGTGTTTGATTTAGCTTCTGGTTACAACCAGATCGAGATGGATCCCAGGGATCGTCATAAAACAGCGTTTTCTACTCCCCAAGGACATTGGGAGTATCTCCGAATGCCCTTCGGGTTGAAAAACGCTCCAGCGACATTCCAACGCTTAATGGATTCCGTCCTCACTGGTCTGCAAGGCACCGCCTTGTTCGTATATCTAGATGACATAATTGTTTTTGTTCGTGATCTTGAAGAGCATGGTCGAAAAATTGACCAGCTCATGACCCGACTACGAGAGGCAAACCTGCAGCTGCAACCCGATAAATGTGCATTCCTGCGCCCTGAGGTCAATTACTTGGGCCATATCATCAGCAGAGAAGGTTTGAAGCCTGACCCTGCTAAATTAACGGCTGTAAAAGACTTTCTAGTTCCTAAAATACAGAGGAACGTGCGGGAATTTCTAGGGTTGACGGGCTACTATCGTAGGTTTATAGAAAAATATTCTCATATCGCTAAACCACTGACCAAATTACTCGAAAAAAATTCTGAATTTAAATGGTCGGATGCAGCCCAGAAGGCATTCGACATATTAAAAGAAAAGCTATGTACGGCTCCAGTTTTACAGTACCCCGACTTCTCAAAACCTTTCATCATCACTACCGATGCATCTGGGTATGCTATCGGAGCGGTTTTATCACAGGGGGAAATCGGCAAAGACCGGCCGGTGGCATATTATTCTCGAGTCTTGAGAGAACCCGAGTTAAATTATGACACATACGAGAAGGAAGCATTGGCTATAGTTCAGGCCGTGAAGCACTTCCGTCCGTATGTTTATTTACGTTCGTTCACCATTGTCACAGATCACCAACCTCTTGTTTGGTTTAAATCGGCTACGGAAGGAAACACTCGCGTCCTCAAATGGCGCCTTCGTCTGGCTGACTTCGATTACAAGGTGGTTTATAAACCACGATAAACACCGATGCTGTGTCTCGTAACGTTCCTGACCTCGTCAATTTCATCACACGAGCACGACAAGCTCAACTAGATTCTAAGTTAAACCTCGGTGAAGAACCTTCCACTGAGTACACGAACAGTAATATAAACCTCGACGCAGGCCTTCCCATCGAGATGCACAATTTAATCCCACCAGGTAACCCGGTAGTCCCGAAAAAAGGGGTAGACCGCGGAAGCGTCCGGAGGAACCAATCGAGGAAAGTTTGAATCTAGATGGTTCGACACCTCGGTTAGACCCTGACACGTTGTCTAATTTATCGGAGAACTCTGATGAGTCAGAAGTCCCAAATAGACCCAAAGTGGATGATAACTATAAGCTAAATTCTAATTTAATCCCGCAAGGAGGTCTGGCGGTCCCGAGAAAAAGGGGCAGGCCACGCAAAAGCCAAGGGATCCTGACCGAAGAACAAGTGGATCCAGTAGATTCGGCACTTCGATTGGGTCCTGATGCATCGTCCTCGGAGGACTCTGATGAGTCGGAATCCTCGGACGACTCCGAAATGGAAGACAGCAACTTTAAACAAAACAAAACAACCGGTGCTGGCCTTCCCACCAAAAAACCTAATCATAACATAATTCGCGTAAGAGAAGCCCTCGAATACCGAAACGATAGTTTGGTATATTTTTTGAAAGGAAACGGGGATCCCTGTGACGAAGGATCTCGATCCTTTCGAAAATCCCAAAAGTTACCTAAGGTCGGGATAATGGACATCGGTCAAGTGTCCTGGACCCGACGGGGGCACAAAAATTATTTCGGTTTGGTGATTCGAAACAATGGCGAATCCTCTCTTATAATCAAAAGTAACATCGCAAAATGTCTGTTAAAATTAAAAGGGATATTACGGGATAAGGGTTTGAAAACTTTCTCAATAGCTTACTCAGAATTCGTTGAGAATATTCCGTGGACAGAAATTCTCTCTATAATCCATGACATTTACGACACTACTCCGATTAAAATCATAATATGTTTGAATACATTACGCTACGTCCCCCCGGAAGAACGTGATCGTGTTTTCTTTGAAGCCCATAAATCCCCAATTGGAGGACACAAAGGGGTTTCAAAAACGTATCATCGAATACGCACACACTACTTCTGGGAAAACCTAAAACAGGACATACAGGTCCGTATCCAACAGTGTCTGGAATGTCAGTTAAGGAAGTTGGTCCGGGTTAAGACCAGACAGCCTATGTTGATAACTGACACCCCAGGCACGGTCTTCGAGAAAATCGCGATGGACATTGTGGGTCCTTTACCTCGGACCGGAAACGGAAACGATTATGTCCTCACCATTCAGGACGTGTTCTCGAAATTTTGCGTAGCAATTCCGTTGCCGAACATGTTAGCATCTACGGTCGCCGACGCCTTCATCAAACGCTACGTAAGTACGTTTGGTGCTCCCAAAGCGTTGTTGACTGATCAAGGTCGTAACTTTATTAGTACGTTTATACAACGCATCTGCAAACGCTTCAAAATAAAGAAAATCCAAACCACAGCATTCAGACCCCAATCCAACGGATCTCTTGAACGCTCACACCATGTGTTAGGCGAGTATTTAAAACAATACATTAACAAAGAAACCGAGTGGGATGAATGGCTAGAGCTCGCTATGTTTTCGTACAACACGTGTGTCCATGAAGGAACACGATACACCCCGTTTGAATTAGTCTTTGGTAAAATAGCACGAGTACCTTCGGGTGAACCGTTGCACGATTTCGATAAACTCCCTACCTATAACGATTACATTATCAAATTAGTAGAACGTTTAACTCAAATCCGACAATTAGCTCGCGACAATCTGATTGGTGCAAAGCTTAAATCGAAAGAAATCTACGATAAGAAGGTGAAACCCTTAGAGATAAACATTGGCGATAATGTGTTTCTCCAAAAGGGGCCCAAACCTCACAAATTTGGCGACCATTACGATGGACCCCATGAGGTAATCGAAGTTCTTCCCGATGGTAACGTGCGGATCAAACTCGGGAAACAAACGAAAATTGTACACCCAAATAGACTAAAGAAGACATTAATTCAAGTCTCAAGCCCAATCAAAAACAACAAGTCTAAGGTCGGAGACCTCGGTCCCGACTTTAGACCATAAATGTTCTGTCCTTTCTTTTCCAGGATGAAAGCTGTTCAATATTTCCTCCTTGTACTCATATCTAACTGGGGACTGGTGGACGCCATAATCGGCTACGATTGCGGCAACCAGGTCCTCAACATGACAACGCTATCACTCGTGGACATAGACGAGTGCGAACTGGAAGACGAAAAATTGGAGACAACGCTGCCAAACATTGCGTTGCTTCAATTAAACGAATATGAGCATCTCTCAGTAGTACAATGTAAAATAAAGATTCACCGGGTTATCCAGCACTGCGGCTGGCAGTCCTATAATTCCCTTGTCAGCAACGGAATTATGGACTACGTTTATCCTATAACTCGCGAAATGTGCCAGGTTGCGCACGACCATGGCACATTACGCATTGGTAATACTTTTATAGATGGAATAACCCCTAATGTTACCATAACTAAAAGTATCACTCTCGCGGGAGGCGTGAATAACAACGCGGATTGTACCAACGTCCAATATAGCGATGCGTATGGTAGTTGGAACAGTGTTTTTGTAACCGGCACTGCCACGATCACGGTTCGCACCTAACAAGCTCGCGTTAAAGTCACTGACGACAAGATACACTTGCCATCAGGAACTTCATGTAAATTAAGCAAGGGTAAGTGTATCGATCCAGAGGATGGATACACTTACTGGCAGTCACTGCCCCGCAAATACTGTACTACTGAAACGTACACTGTATTGTACCGCGGTGCAGCCACTCGCCTTAGGTCTAAGTCGGAAACCGTATACTCACTCAATGTAAGAGATACGAGTTTCTCCCTAAGCACGACTGGAGTTGAAACCTCATGTGGTGTCTCAATCACTAAGACTGAGCATCCAAAATTATATATCATTAATCAAAAAGATTTGGAAACTCTTGAGAAAGGGAGCATTGCAATCTCCCATCCAGATAATATAGATATTTTTCTTTACGTGAATGCCAAATTCATTTACGTAGAGAGATACATGAGGTCTCAGGTCGAGTCGCTGTACCTAGATGTAATTAAAAGGCGATGTCTCTTGGAGAGTGAAGTCTTGAAGAATACTCTCTCGATAGCGTCTACTCAACCAGATGAGTTCGCCTATCGTTACATGGAGGGACCAGGATACATGGCCGTTGTTGCAGGTGAGGTAGTACATATCGTACAGTGTGTGGCAGTCAAGGTGAAAATTCAACACGCTGAGAAATGTTATAACAGGATGCCTGTTCAACGGGTCAACCGAACGTTGTTCCTCACCCCCCGAACACATATCCTTACCGATTATGCAGCCGAGCTGCCCTGTAACTCTCCATTGTTACAGTTCTACAAAGTGGGCTCAATATGGTATAAATTTCTGCCCAAGCCTGTTGAAACACTTCCTCCGAAGACATTGAAACCCAGCATCAAAATGACCTGGAAGTACCAAAACCCGGTCAACCTAGCAACTGGAGGTATCTACTCCAAAGAGGACCTGGACG